GAGGCCTAATTGTCACATCAGAGCATCCTTGTCCCCACGCAGCAACCACCACCTTGTACATCACTTCCTGTTTTATGCAGCTCGAAACGTGGACTGAAGATTTATTTTTTAATATGTTGACTTTCTTTCTGGGCAAGACATCGGTCATGTGTGCATTTTTTTTTCTTTTTTTTTTTTTTTCTTTTTTTTTTTTTTTTCCCAGAGACGACAGTCCTCAGCGGGGATGACCCCCCCGGCCGCCCCGCAGCCGCCCTGCTGCCCGCCGCACAGAGCCCGCACCGCCGCGCCGCGCCGGAGCCGGAGGGAGAGCAAGATCCTGCCCGGGTGCCACCTGCCAGGAGAGGAGGAGGCTGACGAGCGCGCTGGAGCAATTTATAGGCACCCAAAAGCGCAGGGGAAAGGGGAGCTGCTTTGGCATCTCATTCCAGCATCTGCTCTGCTCTTCCCACTCACAGAGAGTTTGGCATTACTCTGGCAGTGTGGGAAATATATATATATTTTTTTTTTTTCTTCCCCCCCTCTCTCTTCCCTCCCCCACCCCTCCCGCAAACGGATGAACAGCGAAATCGTGAGCCTCACTCACTAGCTGCATCTTGCCATGACAGCTCTTTCTGGAGCAGACCAAAAGGAAGAGATGTGCTTAGAAGCCTCTGGGTACCCTTCAGGTCACCGATCGAGAATTAAAAGGTCAATCCACCTCCTGCTTAACGCTTCCCTGAGGCTACCCTGCCTTATTAGTCTTTTCTGGGAAATACCGCTTTAAACGTAGGCATGCTTTACAGTTACCCATTGTCCAAGTGGAAGTTATTTGAAAATATACCTCCCACCTCGCACAGTAACAGAGATTAGCATCTCTCACAATTTCGGATCTCCCTCTCCCTCTCTCCCCGATTTATCACTAAAAAGGCAGAGAAGGAAACAGGTCTTGCTGTGAATTAAAACTGACATTCTCATCACCGGGTGCAGTGTTTCCCAGCGTTAGAGCCACCCACCACTTTGCCAGCAAACTGACACCGGGGAAAAGAGTTCCCTTTTGTTTAGAAGCTGAAGGAAAGTGCGGGGAATACGCAAACCGACAGATGCCTCGACCTTAGAAAAAGGTCTCCCTGGCTTAAGTCGGGGGCAGCAGAGCGCTTTGATAAGTCTTGGGGTTTTATTCTTTTTCTCTTCCCCCCCCCCCCCCCCCCTTTTTTATGTGTGTGTGTGTGAAAGGTTTCTCCTCCTCCAAGGGCTGGTGGGCACCTCTGTGGCTGAGTGGGAAGGTGAACGTGCAATATTAGTGGCATTTCTCCCAGGAAAATATTAAAGAACTTGTCCTGCTCACAGATATACAAGGTACACAAAGAGCTGTTTAAATAAACAAACAGAATTGATTCCTAAATCGTACTTCTGTATTCAGGAGCAATGGACGTCAATCAAACGCGGGTGACATTTGCCTGTCAATACAGGGATGATGGCTGGGAAGAGTGTGACTTATTACAGCGAGGCAAGAATCCGAAATGAGCAACAGTGGCAAATAGGACAACAACCAAATAATAGCATCTCCAGCCACGATCAGAGAGCTGTGATCTCGTCCTGGATTTTATTAGCACGAATCCCCTCTCCCCTCGCCCCGTTCTCTTTTCTTTCTTTTCTATTCCGCAACACAATAAGGTCAAACAAGCAGGCACTGGGAAACAAAGATTCATTGATTCTTCCTTTTAAGCAGAAATGTCAGCAGCTTCTTTTGCTCTTTCCTGAGAGACTCAAAGGCAGCGAGTGTGTCCACGCCGTGCAGAGACGGGCCAGCCCAGCTTCTTATCTCCCCAGAAAACTCCCGATAAAGCTTCCATTTCCCGCACTTGTAAATACCTCTCCCCCCACCCGCCCCCTTTTTTTTTTTTCCTTTCTTTCTTTTTTCTTGCCTCTAATGCTCCGTCTTAAAAAAAATTCTTTATCTGGCACTGCCACAAGCTAGCCAGTTCCCTCAGCTCAGGGCTTCCCCTCAAGACCCAGGAAGGCATCTGGACACACTTGGAGGTTTGTGTTTGTGTCTCATGGCTCTCTGCGCTCCGTAGCAAAGGGCTTTCAGCTCTCCTCCCTGCTCTGGGCAGGGAAAAGAAAGGCAAGTCCTGCCAAGAGGGACAGGTCTGTCTCAGCCTGTAGCCGGGCCCTCGAGGGGTTGTATTGAGTCATCCTTAAACCCGGGCGGTTTTCCTGACATCAGGATGTGCGTAAACCCCCACTGCAATGGCCGTGCTGGGAAGTATCCGGTGTGTTACACACTGGGAAAACAGCAAATCTCAAACCTTCAAATAGGCACAAACCTGCCGTGGGCTGTCAAGCCGCCGTGATGCCGGGTGACTTATCGGCACCAAACACCCCCTCAGTTCCTTCCTCCAGCTGTGAAAAGCCTGATTTTTGAAGTGAGGTCCTACCATATGAACCATGTTTACCTTCTTAATAGACAGTTTTATCCTCACGTGTCGTGCCAAGAGCGCTCCTTCACTCTGGACTCTTGCAGACTTTCTCCCACAGGAGACCCATGAGCCAGCTGCAAAAAACCCAGCCCGAGGGAGCAGAGGAGAGAGAAGAGGGCAGGTACCAGTGCTGGGGTGGCTGTGGAGCTGGTGTGTCAGCTGGGAACAGAACCCGCCACCTTGAATGACAGACCAACGCTTTGGTTACCAGATTAGCCTTGGTTCCCAAGGAAAAAATAACTTTTCCAAGGAAATTAAGAATGGGAAGCCGAAGACCTCAGAAGTTATGCACTGGAGGTCTCAGTAGTCTGGAACAAAGTTAAAGGAAATGTAGAAACCTCTTTTTTTTTGCCATGGGACCTTTATTCTCCTGAAGTGGTCCGTCAAAGCATTGATTTGCTGTAATTAAAGCTGGGTAGCATTTGTGTTATAATATAATCTCTCCATGCTAAAGGCTAACAGTCAAGATTGACAGTCCATTCCTAATATAACCATTGTACCTACGTGAGCTGCTGCCGGTCTTAACATACCCAATTTCTCTGTATTTTTGAAGCCCTCTCACAGGCTTGCTCCAGCCTTTCAGCCTGTTCTCTTCCCTCCCCATTCTCTGGGCCTTTACGCATTCAGACCCGCAGTTGGTGTTCGAGCTGTATCCCCTGCAGCTTCTGCCATTTGAAACAGCCTGCCCACAGCTCTTTTCCTCACCGACTAATTAGTTGACGTTCATACAGAGCCCTAAAGATGTACGGCATAACATGCGTGTTCTTTTTTTTTCCTGTGTGCCGTTGCCTCGGCACTAAGATAGGGGAAAAATTGGAGAAAACTGAGGAAGGATGTGTCCACTGGCACAAAATGGCTCCTTCTGCCTGCCGTGCTAAATTCAAAGGGTTAGCCCAGGAAAAAAAAAAACCTGTGTGAGAAAGGGCAACCCTTTACCAGCTGCAGTGAGCAAGCGGAACACGGAAAAAGGCATATGTCGAACAAAAGGAGGGTTCGAGCGCTGTGCCAAGTTCCATACTGCTTCTGCTCACTCCCATCGGCATCTGTTTTGCTCTTGCTTATATTTTAACTCTTTTAGAAGTGATTTTAGAGGAGCATTTGGAATTTCAGTTCACTCGAAAATGACGGCTTTGCTACACTGCACCTTGATGTGCTCTGGTTTAGCTACGTGTGTGAAGGTCAGCGTTTCAGGCTGGACACCGGTGGTACGGTCAAGGAACAACACCTTCTCACTCCAACAAGGAAATGGGTTCAACACTACAAGATAAAATTGCATTATAAATGGGGGGAAAGCTGTTCCTATCAGCATAGATGGCTCCAAGGGACCACGGCGCTAACACCTCTGCTGCTATCTTTAACCATCCCTGGTAACCTATTTCCATTCTGCTCACCCAGTTTGGTAAAATCTCAGGGCTGGCACGTGTCAGGTAATAGGGCCTGGAAAGTTCCAGTCTCCTACCACTTTTTGGTGGAAGCTCTTACAGGCAGCACTAACTAGGTTCTTCCAGAAACTTGTTCTGGTCAGCATCACTCAAGACCATCTGTATTTATAGCGATGCAAGTTTCCCACCACATTCTTTCATAAGATTAAGGTTTTTGTGCTCATGGAAGGAAAATCAGCTTCAGTGTACAAAAGAAAGAAATTGTTTTGCTGAATTTTTGGAAGCTTTTACCTCTCATTTGGAATGTGGAAAGTCCTTTTGCAGGATCTTCTTTGATGTTCAGGGATTTAAGCCACTTGTGTGTGTGTGTGTGCAATTGGAAATATAGATTAAGTTTTATCACAATCAATAATGTCCTTTGAAGATCAGCCTCTGAACCTGAACAAAAAGAGGAACTAGATTGGGAGTTGGAGTTAGATGATCTTTAAGGTCCCTTCCAACCCAAACCATTCTATGATTCTATGAAATGATAGAAAAAAATAAATGTATCCAGTCTTGAAAGGGTTACAACCACTTTTCAAATCCAAACGAGGGGGGAATTCAGGGAGGGCTGTCACTAAAGTGACAGGGCTCAACAAGGAGAATTTGCAAATAAATTCCATATATCTCTTCCTTTTCAGTTTTTCATCTGAAAAGATCAGTCAAACATGACTAGTTACTGGGGGGGCGGGAATTAAAACAGAAAGATCTGTACCCAAGTCATGTATATCGTGTTTTGCTGGTGAACTACTGTAGATATAAAATCATAACTGTGTGTGTAAAAATAAGTCTTAAACACGTAGGGAGCTAAAGATTACATATTCAACTCTTTCCCATGTGCTTGCTTCCCTCTTTGTCTTCTCTCTTGTCCTAAGGTGCCAAGCACAAAGCTGGAGTGATGCAGGGGAAAGTGGTCAATCTGGGGAGTATCTCTGGATAGTGATGCTGGTCCTTCTCCAGCCCCAGTGGTGCCTGACC